GTCAGAAATGCTTTTGTTAAAGTTTTAAATCCTGCTTCCATAAAAGGCAGCAGATTCTAACATAGGGCAATTTTCATGCTGCAAAGAGAAAAATAAAACTTAGGCAGCATGACTTATTTAGAAAGATCTAAGAAGTAATAAAAAAGCCTGTGTGCAAATGTGTGTATGTGTGTGTGTGTGTATGCATGCACAGTTTCTTTAACAGCTGCATGGAACAACCTGTTTTAAATAAGCACAAAGGTGAACAAAGCCAGTTGTCAGTGCAACTCACCAAATGAAGTCTTTTAATGTGCATTACGTATGCCATATAAAATGTATTGCCTGAGATATAACAGCACAGAGTCCAACTCGAAATCTTTTTCTCAGGCTTTTCCTACAAAGTCATGTTTCAAGTATTTACTGCATTTATCTTCATTATTTGTTTCTCTCCAAAAGGCCCAATGGATCACCTTGTTCACTATATCTTCAGCAGCAAATTAAAATCAGCCTCTTCTCTCCCTCAGTATTTAAAATTTTCATGTTCTCACAAGATGCCACTGAATCAATTTGTACCTGTTACACTCAGAGTAGGCAACTGGCTAAGTAGAAAGCGGAGATCAGGTCTGACTTACCAAATGAGTTTGACTTACCAAAAGAAGGCAAGAAAACAAAAACAAAATAATGATGGAAGATTTTTCACTGCTTTGAAGGTTTTATGAACAAAAAAACCCTTTGATAAGCACACAGAGTACCTTTTCATGTATGTAAGTGAACACAATTTTAGGAAAAGCTTTGCTTTGCACAAACAGAAATATTTGGGCTTTTTGTAACATATTAGAGAACTTGGAGAGAGTTGCAAGACCTCTGCCTTCACTATAAATGTTACATGTGTTTCTGCACTGAAGATGAAGAGCCAACAGAGAGCAGGGAAGTCTGCTGGAAATGTTACAAAGCCGTATTTACAGATAATTTTATAATCAGGCAACCATTTGTTACAAGTCTCTAAGATCCACAAGAGGAATCTATTGCTGTGAAAAGCTTAGGCAATTTTTAAAGAGAGCAACTTATCAAAGAAATGTGTAGTCTATTAGCACATCATTAAATTGTTAAACCAATTCCATCTTTTGCTTCCCAGTTACTCTCCCCTATAGCAGACAACTGCACCAGGTGCACAGAATAATTTCTGACTTTTGGAGGTGAATTGGAATTTAGGATTCCTATCTATTCCCTCCCCATTCCCTCCAATGCTTTTATTTCTTGTTTGTTTTTTTACCTCATCTCACAATGTTGAAAGAGCTGCTTTACTCAGGAATGTGTTTCTTGGACTACTTCATCCTAATGAAAGCATGAACAAAAAGATTCATGAGCAAGTTAGATTTTCCCAGCCTTTGATGTGACTTAAAGTTGAAGGTACTCTTGAGAAATAACAACATATGGAGCACCTTTATATATTTATATAGATACATAATGTGATTTCTCTGCAGTAAAAGAAAAGCTGTAAATGTTAAAGGCCTGTTTGACCTCAGCTGTGACATCCTACATGATCTCTCCTATAGCTCTGGTATTGGCATAGTGGTGGGTACCTGGCGTAGTTGAAATGTGGATGGAGAATACTGTAATTGTAAAGTCCCATAGTGGTACAGACATATCTCAACTAGTGCAGGTGTGTAGGCTCACCACTACCACACTGCACTTTGTCTGACAAGTCTTGTGGCCAGTTGTCTGCTGGCTCACATCCAGGCCACTTTGGCAACTCTAGATCACGTTCCCTCTTCTTATATTTCTAAGTTGCAGAGAAAGCCGAGGGAGCTGGCAGTCTGGCATAAGTCCCCTTTGGGGATCACTGGTGGTCACAGGTGCCACTGGTGACTATCATGAGGCATTGTATGTGGTATACATCACCTTTTCTTAGGGACCCAGCCCGATTTAGATTTTTCTCAAGATGAGGTTGCCCAGGCCCTAAAAAGGCTGCCCAGAGAGGTTGTGATGTCTCCATGCTTGGAGGTGTCTAAGACTGAAGTAGAGCAGGCCTTATGCAACCTGCTCTAACCGGACCTCCAAGAGGCTGGACTAGACATAATCAAGGTCCTTTCCAACCTCAACCATTCTATGGTTTTATGATGTGGTACTCTCTGGAGGACATGCATTTCCTGATGACTCTGCTTGCACCCATCTTGACTTAGACTGGGATGGGCTCTGTAGCGTCCTCTGAGTATTCCCTTTAGCACATCTCTTGCCAGGTACAGACACTGGCAATGCCCCTGGTCACCTTCTCTTCTTCTTGTGGCACATTATAGTTCTGGCTGCTGGTTTTTTGCTACAAAAATTGTGATAGGTAGAGACAATCCCTTGAGGTCTCTAGTGTGAGAATCCACTGCATGTTTGTTGGGATTCTGAGTTGTTGGACTTCATGAGATAGGTGATCCCTTTTAGCCTGAACCTCCCTTCTTCATGTCACAATCTGTACAAAGCTGACTACTATAAACTCATGGCTGCTTTCCTAATATAATTATTAGGATCCTCTTGATGTCCCAGAACAACTTTCTGCTCTGAGATGAGACCATGAAAACACAAATGATGGAAGATGTGTTGCTTGCAGTTCCAGCCTGGCCCAAGTGTGGCAACATGGACAAAAGAAGGGCCAAAGCAGATATGACACCTAGGAGGGTTGTTGATTTGGGAGAGGTGGGTGTTAGAAATGGAGTGCAGAGGTGAGGAGAACCTGAGACTGAACAGGGGGAGCAGCAGGACTGGGACAAGCTGTGCAATGAGCTCAAAGCCCAGAGCCAGCTGGGATGCTGTGTGTGCCCAGATAGCCTCCTGCCGAGCCAGCAGCGCTGGTGGAACAGAGCCTTGCTCTCAGCTGCTGATCACAGACAAACTCATCTGTCAGCAGATAGTTTTGAAACTTGCTTGCAAAGTGCTCTATGCCTTTCTAGTATCGAACTGCCTCCAGCCTGACACCCTGCTACTGCTATCCATTATTTTAACTTAGAATGCAGACTTTTATGCCAGCAATATAAAGGATCTAAACTCTTCTGACATCTCCTGAGGTGCCCATATAATGCCACATCATAAAATTTCAATGGTCAATATCTATTTCAGTGTTTGCCATTGTGCATGCAATTTCCTCTTTTTAAAGAATATTTAGCTCTACCAAACAATTGTTCGGATTGCAAAGGACAGAGTAAGTAGAGTAAGCAGAACATTTGTCTGCTCAATGCATGTGATCATTTGTGTTTGCAAAATCAAACACGTTTTGTACAGAAACCTTTCCTCTGGCACTGGAAAAATAGAAACAAAGCGAGATGCATCAACTTTGCACACAGGAAGAAACAATCTCCCTGTAGGACCCCCAACTTCATCTTTTGGAAAGTGTTCAGTAAATGAGGCAGAGGATTATAAAATGGGAGTGAATGATTAAGGTTAGTATATGTTTCCCTGGAAAATGTGACTCTACTCCTGTTGCGTTTGTGTGACAGATTTCCTACATGGTGCTAGTTAAGTCATGTGAAGCTAATTTACATGGATTGTGAATGCTTTTCACTCTAAGAATGGTTCTCATTTTGGGGAGCTTGCTGGATCTGAGCTCTGATGTGCAGGAGTCTGGAGCATGCACTCCTGGGTGGAGGCAAATGGGGTTGTGATCCGAACACACGCAGCACCCACCCTGCAGCACTCTGAAACCCACATCCTGTGTACCCTGGAGCAGGTGTTCCAACCAAAACCTTAGTCCCTTTGCGCTTCTCTTTCACACCCAGAAATTAATAATTCTGTTCCCCGCAGAGTCTGAAGAGGGTGTGGCAAACAGGGCCTTGAATAAAGAGCATAAAATCAATCACTAAGCACCTGCTTTTCAAATGTGCTCTGTTCAGCCTGTGTGCTGAATGAGGTAAGGGTCCTAAGGAAAAAATAATTAAAGAACATGAAATTAGATAGTTTCTCAAAAATGTAAACATACATTGGTCCGTTTTTAATGAATAATAATATTTGACATGATATGCTTTCAGTGTTTTGGCTATTAAAAGTTTCTTAAGAAAAGTGGAAGGTGAACAGGAAGGAAAAGAGGAAAGCAAGGGTGAAGGAGGGGAAAGAGAAGGAGAAGGGAAAGGGAAGAGTGGTTTCTAGTTCCCCTTGTAAAGACTGAAAAGGTGACTGTGAGCAATCTAGGGAATCATTAGGCAAATAGAATGAATCCCCAAATTCTTTTATGTTGTTTTAGGAACAAAAGAGCTGGTTTAGGACTTCTTTAACGCAGGGTACGAGCAGAACGATGTTTTTCAGACCTCACCAGACTCGGCATTGCTACTATGCATGAATTTTCAAAAACAAACACGTGCATATATTAAATCCACAGGGGATTTTCTTCATGTATTCATGCCTTTAGCAGCTCATGTTAAGATCAGCCAGCGCGCACCAGCAGTAGTACTGCCACTTCAAACAGCGCCAGAGAACAGGAAAGCAACAGAACTTTTATTGAGCCACAGGAATGAATCGGCAGCTGGGACTGGGAAGCATCGCTTCGTGCATCCCAGTTCAATTTAAACAAAAGCAACTCACAAGGGTTCTCTGCGATCAAATTATTAGTTCTTAATCGTTCACTTCTAAACTGTACCTATAAACAGCCCGGAGTGGTTGTCAATAACAAACCTCTGGAGAGCGGTCCCAAAGGGAAGCGCTGGCAGACGCGAGCCGCCGGCTCAGCCGGACCCTTTCCCCGGTCATTCCCGGCTCCACCCCTCGCCTGCCCCGAGGGGAGTACAATGCAAGGCGCAGCCAGCACCTAGCAGCGTGGGGACTAAGCCGTGCCCCGGAATCTCCCTCTTTTATTTTTGTTTTGGTGGCTTTAAAAAAAAAATAAATCTAGTTATAAGGTAAGAGAAATTGAGATTTTTTTAACGTAATTTTAATTTGAGCGCTGCTAATTGCTGTGTACATGCGCACTGCGCTGGTTCACTGAGCGCACTGGGCATTAGTGTAGGCGCCCGCGGGAGGGAGGGAAGGAGGCTGGAGCGGGGTCTGCGCGGAGCGGAGGGCCCGGGATGCTCGGCGGCTCCGCTCCCGCCGCCGCGGCTCCGGATCCAGCCTGGCTGGACAGGCCAGGACAGTGCTGAGGAGCCTGGCCGGCCCCGAGCTGACCGTAGCGTTGGGCTGGAGCTCTGGAAGGTGCACCTGGTGGGGCTGTGCCGCGGGGCTGCCTCTCCCGAGCAGCGCACACGGAGGTCAGGGGAGGAGAACCGCAGCCCGGAGACAGGTTTGGCAGTTTTAATCTCTCACCTGAGCGCTGCTGCGCCTTTGCTCCCAGCTGCTGTTTGCATGCTTTCTGTGCATCCCCCTTCCCCTTCTCTGTTCGCCGAAATTAATGTGGGTACCTCGACTGGGGAGCTTGGAAAAACTGCCTGTCCGTTTGGGATACCGTTTCGTAGTCCGAATGGGTGTCAGTCGGGTTTTGTTCTTGAAGATCTTTGGTGTTTTTTGATATTAACAAGATGCTGGAAAGGTGGCGGGACACTGAATTTAATGAGTGTTCTTATTCAAAAACACTGCCTTTAGCCACTGTTCACTTGGAGTAAGACACTTCTAAACAAATGAACTATTTCAGCAAACTGGATTTTAGTTTTTGCAAAATCAGTATTAGAAACAGAAGGAGGAAAAACAACTGTTGTAGGTGGTAAGCAATGTGTCCTCCTAAGGAAGAAAAGACTTCCTTTACTTTCAGTATATTTTGGGAACTCTCACGTAGTTTAGAAGTAGCAAGAATATTAATTTGCTTGTGATATAGTTTGATACAATCACTTCTCAAAAGTTAATTCAGCAATGAAGAATATGCACTTTTTTGCACTTTGAGTTTGTGTAATATGTAGCCACAGAAAATTGTCTTTAGATTTACTAGAACTGATAACATTTTTTTTAAAAGTTTGTTCTGTGATAAAACTCAACAGCAGCCTGGCAGGTTCTATAGTAAGGTCATTCAAATATTTTTCTCATTGCTTATCTCTAAAGTTTAATGGATAGAAAGGAGAAAGTAATACAGATGTGCTTTATTCTTTTGCTTGCCATGGGATCTGATCTCATTTACATATTTCTTCTCCCAGTCGAGATTGATATGTGGGAAGTAGTGAAGCTGAGGATTTGAAAGTGTTACCTAATTTTGAATTGCTCAATTTAAGTGACAGGCTGGATTGTTTTGCTTCCTGGAGAGCCTGAGCACCTTTTGTCTCTCTTTGATTTTAGATGAAATTGTAAGTACTCAGAACTAGCAAACTTCAGCCTTTGGATATCTCAGCCTGGCCCAAACATGGAAGCACTCAGAAATAGTCCTGACATGTGAAGGATTTCCCAGTGGCTGTAGAAACAATCTTCAAAATCAGCTGTTGTACACTGAAGGGGGGGAGGGGGGGGAGAAGGGAAGGGAACTCCTTTATTAAGTTAAACCACCTCTTGCTGGTTTACATTGTCTGACATCCCTTAATGGGCAGCAGCTTTCTAGCTACCACTAGGAAGTTGTCCAGTCTCTCTAACTTTGCAGATACAGTAGCAAACTCTCTAGGTTTGAAGTGGAAAGATGAGCTTGCGAAGGCATTTGCTTTCCCAGTGAAAATTCCCTTGGGATTGCTGTGTGAGCGGCATAGAAATGCTATTGGCCCCTCAGGAGGAAGCAGCCTTCATGAGCCATCAGTCAACTCATCCTTAGAGTGACCAAGTCCTCATTAATGTACTTTTCCTTAATCTCCTCTTACAGGCTTTCGAAAGGATAGGTTAGAAGTGATTACATTCCATCACCACAAACCTTTTGGAATGTAAAAGGCAAAATAGGTACTATAGGAGCAGTACAACAAATGGCTTTGTGCTAGAGCAGCAATGAGGAGCTCTGTGGATCTTCAGGCTGTCTATGAACTCAATTAAAAGGTCCTGCAGAGACCTTACCTGTTTCCCTCCTTCCCATCCTCTTTTTTCTAACTGCTGTTGCTTCTGCTGCCAGTTTTGATTGCAGGGGAAATAGCTCTAGATTTCCCTCCTCATTGGCCCCTCCTGCAAGTGCTTCATTAAACGCTGGGGGACACCTTGGAAAGCTTGGCTTAGTCTGTTTGCAAAGCAAGAGGCTAAACCAGGACAACACAGCTGAAATGTGGTGCCAAAATGTTCACATGTACACAAACCACAGAGGCAGCTCGTGTCCTTTCAGGACATCTTCTGCCTTGCCCTGCCTTCCCAGGGTTTCTGTGTGTATATAAGTGCACGTTTCTATGCTAGAGATGGTAAAGGTTGTATGAGTATTTGTGATGTTTTCTCATCTTGGTGGAAGTACAAATGGAAAGAGAGGTGCATACACTGGTATAATTTTCAATAAGTGTTTGGGAGGCGTACTCTGTTTTAAATACTCTAAAGTGAATTTTTTTTGAGGGGAGTGGTGTTTTTTTGGAAATCACTGAGCATCTTTCCCCTGATAACTGAAACTTCTTTGTATTTTCTTAAAATATTCCCACTTCAGAGAATGGCTTCTCGTATCAGCTATCATTACTGCTAAGCAGGAGTTTTACAGTTCCCAATTTGCTCTATTTATTACATTTCAAATGTAATAATGAAGTTTATTATCCTTCAGAAAGGAAGAAATTGTTTACTGACCACTATTTGTAATTTCTTTTGCAAATGTGAACAAGAACATGCTTGATTTTAGCTAAGGTCTTGCTGCTGCTACTACTTTTACCATTTACAAATAAAATAAATCCTGTCTAAAATCCAGTAGTGCCCATTGGAGCTTTCCTGTTGGGAAACTATTGCAGTGTCTTTCAAAACCATGAAAATATTATAAAGTCTTGCTCTAGTCTGAGTAGAGACACTGTAAAAATGGTACTGTGGGGTTTCTCGTGTGCATCTCAGTGATTACACTTGACGTGTAGACTTAAAACAGAAAAAACAATAAGTGAAGTCTGTAGCTTTATTGATACAATGAACTGATTGGTCTTAAAGAGAATGTTAAACTACCCTTATGGCCACCCAGAACACTCCAGCAAGAAGCCCTTCAGTCACTCTGCATTTCTCACTTGAAGGAGGAGATACAGCCATCCGTACCTCCTGTCCTTCACAGCAGACTCAGGGACTCGCTTGCAGCAGACCAAAGCCCTGCCTGGGTTGGACACCACTTCCCAGCATACCTAATGTGCTGTTTTACAAACTACCTCTATGCTGTAACCCAGGAGTGTCTCCTACAAATACATTGACAGGATAACTAGACTTTCTGGCAGCTGAGGGTGTGGCAGGAAAAAAGGTATAGTGTTGACCAGGTTTACCATCCAAACCTGAAGGAGTGATGAGCCCCAGCCTGAGTAAGGCAGTCAGAACTGGTAGGATGAAGCACAGGAATATAACTATAGTAAAAGAAATGAAGGCACATCTCTGGAGGAGTAGGGTTGTAGCTGTCAGCATCCCATCGTGCCTCTGTTGATCAATATGTAGCTTGTAGGAGGAAAGGGGAAGCAGAAAGACCTTGTGCAATGAAACCTAAAGGACGGAGGAGAGGGAGGGCCTGCTTACTGACCATCCACTCTGCCTTCCTCCTTGCTGACTGCTTCCAGCACACCATTCATGAAAGATGTTAAAACTTATTCCATAGTTGGTCTTCCTCCACCCTGGTGTTTGCTTTCTCTGCAAGCTGAGATTCATTGTTGAAAGTCCTCAGTCTCCTACTTCCCCAGCATGGCTGCCCACAGACCTCCCTCCTGCTACTCTTGTTGTGAACAGCTAAGGCTGTGGAGGGATGCAGGAGATGCATCTCCCTATGCAGCATGGACCACATGAGATTGCATCGGTAGCTTCTGTAGTCCAGCATCCTGTGCCATGCCAGCCAAGTATCTTTCTTTATGGTTCAAAATCAGGGACCAGCATTGTCCTGGAGTGTTTGTTTTTAGCTGAGGCAGTTAACAGTTTGCACACAGTCATACCTAAGGGTTCGCTACTTTATTTATCCAGTGCACTGCAAGGGGTAATGTCATCATCTTGAGTATTGGACACCTGTAGGGCACCTGTTCTTCAGATTCTGTGGGGAGGACAGATAGTAAGGAGAGGGAGAGACCACCAGGACTCTCATGGCAACAAAAGATCATGTATTTGGGGAATGACCTGGGCTGCATGCTTTGAGGTGATACTTGTGGTAACCCACTGAGAAACACACAGACTTAGCAGTGCTGTCCATAGAGGAGCAGGCAATGTGATCACTGTCTCCACAGGGAACTGGAGCATATCTACATGTTGGGGTCTAGATGCTAAACCCCTGTTTGTATCCAAACATTTCTTCCCATCTCCAGAAACAACCACAAACCAAGACAGCAAATACAGGGACTGGGCTGGGGGTACCAAATGTTTGGCTTGTCAGTGTTTTCGCTGTATGTAGCCCCATGTTTCATTATTAAAAAGGTTTTGTTTTGTTTTGATTTTGACCCTGAAGGCAGGTGTTTTCAACCTTTTGACAATCCAGAGTGTAGTTGCTCTGGATAACACATTGAAGACGCACATGCAGGGAGTCTGAGAGGCTTTTAGTGTTGCATTGGAGCCCATGCGGTTCTGCATTACTTAGCAAACAGCAACAGCAGCAGTCAGATGAGAAGCTTGGTAGTAAATCTGTTAAGAGGGTCAAGAAGGAACAACCTCACCTTGCAGTCTGCTGAAATTCCAGTTTAACCACTGAGGTATGAAAGTTGTACAAGAATGGAAAAGCAGAAAGCGAGAGCAAGCTTAAACTCAGCTTTATTTTGGTGTTTAGAAGTTGCACCAAAAAGGCGTAGAGTTTGTTAATTACTTTGGTAATTAGCACACAGATTTGTACACTGCTTTCCCATTCATCCCTCCCAGAAACAGATTTTAGAAACCGTTTGCCTAGACATGGAAAACAGAAGTATTGTCAAGTGTCTTCTCTGAAAGTTCACTTGTCAAATCTAAGATAGTGTAGTTTCACCATGATAAAGCTGAGGCAGGATAAAATGCTGCATGTTGCTTCCTACCTTGCTCAGCAGAGATATGGTAGCAAATTCACCTCCATGCATTGGCACAGTTACAGTGCTTTGTTTTCCCAGAGGGGCCAGGCCAGTTAGCTCTCCAGCAAGGCAGTGACAGGGCTAACGTGCTTTCTTCTCCTGTTACTCAGTCTCATGACTGGCATTTTTTTTTTGTCTTAGTTTAACAGATATTTGTTGGCTTTCTTGGCATTATTCCTCAGTAGACTCTCAGGTAATCACATGGGGCCATGTGTTGCCAGTGAATTATTTTGCACTCTGCTTAGCAGCCTAGCTGGTGTATACCACCTGGAGCAACTGCTGGGTGAAAATCACACATGAGTGCCTAGGAATTAAAAATCATAGGCAGTTTTCTAAGCATCTCTAGATAGGCTTTTGAGTGTGGGACAAGGGAGGCTGGAAACTTTCTATTATGTTCATTACTTTGGGAGATGGGTCATTTAGAGCACCACTAGGTTAGGGTACGTTATTCTGTCTTGGCAAATATTTTGTCGAAGGGTACATACTATTTCTTTAAAAATATAGCCTGGGGGAGAGGAGGAAGAGTTCTTGGCAGAAACATTTACATGAAGCAGTGTGATAGAGCAGCCGGGGAATATATTGCATGCCAATAAAGTTCCTTCTTCAGTGTGAAAAGTGCATGCTTTGTGAGTGACAGTGGGTCTTTTTTTACCTTTTGATATTTTAACTTGACCCATCCACCAGCATGCCTTTTCAGTCCTTTCCAAAGAGATGCCAAAGCTGAAGAGAATTTTTTTTTTTGAGAATAATCTGTGACCCAGCAAGGTTGGCTGTACGGTTTGTTTGTTTTTCTCTCTTCCCCTGGTTCCTACTATTCTCTTACTCCCACATTCTATCCGACTCTTGTTTTCAAATGTATTCTTTAGCCTTCTCCTTCCCTACCTACTGCATCCTGTGTTCTGCTTTCTGACTTCCTTCTCTTTTCTTATAGCTTTTCTTTCCAGTTCCTCTTTGTTCTGGTCCCCGAGGAGCAAGGAGTGAAACATTAACAGTTGCTGGGAGTACCGAGTTAGTATGGCTGTTATGAGTTTAGAGTTCAGGTGAGGGCTTTGGGAGACATCCTGTGTGTATGACATTGTGCCCCAGAGTCCTTTGCACTGCTTCATTGCTGGGGTAGCAGAGAGGAATGTTTTATCTGTGCTTCACCCGCTATCATCTACAGCCTGGCATTTAAGATAAAAATACTGATCAAAGTCTATCTTTGCTAAGATATGGATATTCCAGTTATTGCAACTCAGTTAACAGGCATAAATTGTTCTACTATTATCACTTCGATGTGTGTCTCATTTATAAAAAAGAAGCTGCAAAGCTTCAGACAACAGGGTAAACAAAGCAAGTGGATTTGAATTATCACATGTCTCGATAGGGTATATGGGAGTTGTAGGTACTATGACAGTGGTTTGGAAAACACCATTTCACAGTAAATTCAGCGTGTGTGCCTCTGTCTAAGTTGGAGTGCTGCTTTTACAATAAAGCTCTTGGATTGGTAGGGCATACATCCCTGTGTTATCTGTACCTCTTTGTCAATTGAGGATCACCATCCTCAGAAATCTATGCTTACAACACAGAATCATAGAATCAACTGGGTTGGACAAGACCTCCGAGATCATCAAGTCCAACCCTTAACATGTTCAAGAACTTCCTCTACTGATGTCAGCATATCCTGAATATAAATCACAGGTATAAAATACATTACTAATAATATCTCCATGTTGCATGGGTAAGGCTGGAAAATGTAGGTCTCTATTATCCTTCTGGGGATACATCTAATTTGTGTATTGTGAGCTTTTATAGTGTCTGAAAATACACCTTTACAGACCATATAGAGAAGAGCATTTTCTAGATGAGGTTAGCTGTAGCCAAAGGTTTGATCAGTCTGATCTTTGTGGTTCACAAAATCTACTAAATGGAAATGTGTTTGGAAGAAGAAACTTTTTAACATAACAGTCAATGTGCTGGCAAATTTATCTTTCTGCTAATTTTGTATGCCTGTGATGCCCAGATAGTTATCAGTTGTGTGCTAATGTAATCTTCTGTCCTGCTGGTTTATTTATAAACCAGGATTGGTCCGTTTATGTGTGGCTGCATATGGCAATTAGTTTTCACTTTTTATCTTACTTTACACATTTTTCTATATGCAAGACATAAGGAGGAATCCACCTTGTAAAACAAGTTTGATATAAATGGATTGGTGAGTAGATAATACCTGTCCTGTTGGAATACTATGTACTTTTACCAACATCATTCTAACAGAGAAATAAATAGAAAGAAATTAAAACCAGATGTATTTTTTTATCTATATATGTATAAAATTTCACTGTGTTTCAGATTTCTAGATGATTTTATACATTTTTCATTTAACTTTTGTAATTTAAAATATTGGGTTTGGGAATGTAACTGCAGTAGGTAGTTATTCTGTGATTTCTTGCAAGACTACTTGAAATAAAAAAAGAAGCTAAAACAAAGGTGATTTTTAAAATGGGGAAATATACTCACACACATATATATATTAGTTTAACACATATCTTCTAACTTGTTTCAGATTGAAGAAACTTCTTGAGCAGGAGAAGGTCTATCAAGCCCGGAAGGAGAAGGAACATACCAAGAGAATCAATAAACTAAGAGAAGAACTAGTCAAGCTCAAATCATTTGCACTCATGCTGGTGGATGAAAGACAAATGCATATTGAACAACTTGGTCAACAAAGCCAGAAAATACAGGACTTAACCCAAAAACTAAAAGAAGAAGAAGAAAAGCTTAAAATTATTAGTGCAAAAACTAAAGAAGATGGACAAAAACTGATGAAGTTAGAGGCAGAACTTGAACACAAAACTTCATCATTTTCTCAAGAACATGAGGAGATGACTGCTAAACTGGGTAATCAAGAGTCACATAATAGACAGCTAAGGCTTAAGCTAGTGGGGTTGACTCGCAGAATAGAGGAGCTGGAAGAAACTAACAAAAATCTTCAAAAAGCTGAGGAGGAACTTCAAGAGCTAAGAGATAAAATAGCAAAAGGGGAATGTGGGAACTCTAGCTTAATGGCAGAAGTGGAAAACCTCCGCAAGCGTGTGCTTGAAATGGAGGGCAAAGATGAAGAGATCACAAAAACCGAATCCCAGTGCAAAGAGCTGAAAAATAAACTGCAAGAGGAGGAGCACCATAGCAAAGAGTTGAAACTTGAAGTGGAAAAACTGCAGAAAAGAATGTCAGAACTAGAGAAGCTGGAAGAGGCTTTCAGTAAAAGTAAGTCTGAATGCACTCAGCTACACTTAAACTTGGAGAAAGAAAAGAATTTGACTAAAGATTTGATAAATGAGTTGGAAGTGGTAAAGACTCGAGTGAAGGACCTTGAGACATCAGAAAGCAAGTTGGAAAAGGCTGAAATAAGCTTAAAAGATGACCTTACAAAGCTGAAGTCGTTTACTGTAATGTTGGTTGATGAACGAAAAAATATGATGGAAAAAATAAAACAAGAGGAAAAAAAGGTTGAGGGTCTAAACAAGAATTTTAAAGTTGAACAAGGGAAAGTTATGGATGTAACAGAGAAATTGATAGAAGAAAGTAAGAAATTTTTGAAACTGAAATCTGAAATGGAGGAAAAAGTGTCTAGTTTGACAAAGGAAAGAGATGAGTTAATTGGCAAACTGAGAAGTGAAGAAGAAAAATCCTCTCAACTAAGCTGTAGAGTTGACTTGTTAAAGAAAAGAATTGATGGTGTAGAGGAAGTAGAAAGAGAAATTACAAGAGGTCGAACCAGGAAAGGACCAGAGCATGGTTGTCATGAGGACAACAAGATTAAGGAACTCACTGTTGAAATTGAAAGACTGAAAAAACGCCTCAAACAATTGGAAGTGGTTGAAGGAGATTTGATGAAGACAGAAGATGAATATGATCAGCTAGAGCAGAAATTTAGGACTGAGCAGGATAAAGCTAACTTTCTTTCTCAACAGTTGGAGGAAATGAAACTCCAGATTGCCAAAACCAAAGCAATAGAAAAAGGTGAAGTGGTGAGCCAGGAGGCAGAACTGAGGCACAGGTTTCGTCTGGAAGAGGCCAAAAGCAGAGATTTGAAAGCAGAAGTTCAAGCTCTTAAGGAAAAAATCCATGAGCTGATGAACAAAGAAGACCAGCTTTCTCAGCTCCAAGTTGATTATTCAGTTCTGCAGCAAAGGTTTATGGAAGAAGAAAACAAAAACAAGAGTATGGGACAGGAAGTTCTGAACCTAACAAGAGAGCTGGAGCTTTCTAAGCGTTACAGCCGTGCTCTGAGGCCCAGCATAAATGGACGAAGAATGGTCGATGTCCCTGTGACATCCACTGGTGTGCAGACAGATGCTGTAAGCAATGAAGCAGCAGAAGAAGAAACTCCTGCAGTGTTTATAAGGAAATCCTTCCAGGAGGAGAATCATATCATGAGCAATCTGCGACAGGTAGGTCTGAAAAAACCCATGGAGCGTTCTTCAGTGCTCGAGAGATATCCTCCAGCAGCAAATGAGCTTGCTATGAGGAAATCTTGGATACCGTGGATGAAAAAGAGGGAAACTGGGGCTCAGGCAACTCCTGATAAAGGAGCCCGGACCCACAGTAGTCCAGCACATCCTGGAGAGGTTGTCCTTTCACCAAAACAGGGTCAACCTCTTCATATTCGGGTGACACCAGACCATGAGAACAGCACAGCAACTTTGGAGATAACCAGTCCAACTGCAGAGGAATTTTTTTCAAGTACCACTGTCATTCCTACTTTGGGAAATCAGAAGCCACGAATAACCATCATTCCCTCTCCAAACGTTATGCCACAAAAAGGAAAAGGCAGTGAAAGTCCAATGGGCCCAGATCGTTCTATGTCTCCAGTCACTATAACAACGTTCTCCAGGGAAAAGTCCCCAGAGGGAGGGAGAGCACCCTTTGCCGACAGACCTGCATCGCCAATTCAGATTATGACAGTATCAACATCTGCAGCACCAGCAGAAATCTCTGTCTCTCCACAGTCACAAGATATGACCATGGGAAGAGCTGTCTTCAAAGTAACGCCAGAAAAGCAAACCGTCCCGACTCCAATCCGCAAGTACAATGCCAATGCCAACATTATTACGACAGAAGACAACAAAATCCACATCCACCTAGGTTCCCAGTTTAAACGTTCTCCCAGTGCTGTACCTGATGGTGCAAGTCCTGTGATAACAGTGAGACCAGTGAACATAGCAGCAGAGAAAGAAGTTGTGACTGGTACCGTCCTTCGATCACCTCGAAACAACCTGTCCTCGCGACCCGCAGCGAGCAAGGTGACAAGTACCATCACTATAACACCTGTTACAACGTCTTCCACCCGAGGAACACAATCAGTGGTAAGCAACCTAGTCTCATGATGTAGTCTTCGTGGTAAGGAGAAGGGCAACTCTGGTTTGGATTTGAGACACCAGAAGGAAAATGGGTGAGGTGAGGAGAAACTCTTGACTTCCCTACATTTGTTTCAGATACGAGCTTAATTATAAAATCAGAATTTGCCTGATTCATATATTTTTGTACCACTATTGGATGCTATATACTTTTGGTATTATTTCCTAAAGCAGTAATTTTCAGAGGAAGTCCCTTCAAAGTTACTTTCAAGTTATTTTCATAATGGCAATCCAGTAAAATTGCAAGTGAGAGACAGACGGACAAAGAATGATGGAGATGACAGAGTAAGAAATTGTATTTTTATTTTCTGTGAGTGCAATTCCTGACTTTTGAAAATACTCCTCATGTTTTTTAGCTTGGTTGGCGGGTCTTTAGACTGATCATGCAGGCTGGTGTTTCTTTGGTATAATCCCGTTATAGTTATAATTCAGTTAATGTCTGCTCTAATACTGAACTCCAAAGGAATAAGTAAGCAGACATATTACCATTGCTTACAGCTCCAAGCCTCTTTCAGCCAGTGAATAGTAAAGCTCTTTTTGTTCCTCTGAACTTCTGCAAGTGCTGTATTACAATAGTGCTTCCTTTAACATATTTTTTTCTGCTTTCTCTCTGGGCTTCTGTGGTGGTACCCCAGCTTGCTTTTCCTACTTCAATCAGTTTCTCACCTCTGTCTTTAATCACAGTGGACAGTATTTATTGATAATCCTTCCCCCGGTTTATTATTGGATGCAGTTTTGTGTTGCTTTAGTTGGAAATACCCTGGGAAAGAAGAATTTAACTGAAATAGAAAACCATCAGTACTGTATTAGTCCAAAAACTTACTCTTACTTAGCTAGACAGAGTCTGCAACAGATGCTTAGGGGAAGATTATTTTGAGTAGGTAAACACACAGTAATGTTTCCCTCAGTGTCTGTTCCTAGTTTTTGGCAATAGGTGGTTATTTCTTTCTGAACCAGGGCCTGTAGCAACATCTTTGTCTTTAATAGGCCGTGGCTGAGTTTTCTTCTATTTATTCTTTAAATTACTTTTTGAACTCATTTATACTTCTGTTTCCACACATCAGGGGGAAGTGAATTCAGTTGTGGGCTTTGGAAAAAATGCTCTTTTGTTCAATACCTTTTATGCAATACCTTCATTGTTTACAGCCTCTTTCTTGTATCTTGAAAAATACTGAATAGTCATCCCCTGTTCATTTGTCCATGCAGCTCAGGAGTCTGCAGACCCCTACAACACGCCTCTTCAGCCATCTCTTTCCAAGCTGAAATATCAAAGTGTATTTAAGATACACTTCCACACCTTTGCAGAGAGGCTGCCATTCCCATTTAAGCCTTCTGACATTAAGAAAACCTGCATTCATCATACAGATTTGTTTGGGGTTGCACATGTGCTGTCTCTCTCACCACATATATCATGTATTGTTGTACATTTACTGTACAGTGCTTTCCTACATATTAGAGGCAACTGTTCATTTTTTAAAAAGTCTTGAATTAATTAATTTACAAACTCCTTTGTCTCTCAGAAGCTTGGAAAACTTGTTTTTAAACTTTTTTTTTTAACTAGATGTCTGTCTCTACTGTGATGATGCATTGAACCATGGCAGACAAAACTTTTTTGTTTTGTTTTGTTTTTTTTTTTTTTTTTTCTGGCTAAAAACTGGTTTCTTTCTTCATCCTTCCTGATTTGGAATGTAAGGAAAATAGTTCAATCATAAGATTTACTTTACCTTATGCTTCCCTCTGCTTTTTAATGTCCCTAGTTAGATGAGCAGGCAACTTCGAACAAGCTCAAATGTGCCTTTTCCTCCCCAGCCTCCTGCAAAAAAAAAAAACAAAAAAGAAAACAAGATGCATATTCTCCATCTGTTTTGCAAATGACAACTTTACAAAACAGTCAGAAAAAACAAGTATCTGATCATTTACTCAGTAACCCTAGCAGAAACCAACATTGATACGGTTTTGAGGGTTTAAGTTAATAAAATCAAACAAGACAAATTGATACACAGCTGCTTTCTTTAGCTCACTGGATTTAAGTTTTGTCTTAATGTTCCTCATACAAGATGCTTTGTACAATGTGCTAATGCAGTGCCAAGCTACAAAGGGGAAGTCTGAAATTCCTAGCTCTCATCTCTTCCTATAACAGATTTGCAGTTACTGTATTCCTGTTTGAAAACATTTAGTTTTTCCCATTTGAATTTATAGAGTTATCTTCAGTGTGCACACACAGTACTTTTAAATGTTCAGCCTGACCTGTGGTGTCTCTCTGCATATGTGAGTCCAAAACCAGAATCTGTGATTTCATTGTGGACCCTCATGATTTTTGAATCCCATGAATCCCATGGATTAAGAGGGGTTCTGGTTGCATTGATTTACACTGACATACTCTATAGAGTATCTAGAGATTTATATTTTATTATATAAAATGAGACCCTGTCCAAAAAAAGACACAGGCATCTGAAGGAGAACATGAGAAATTTTTGAGCATTTAATCAAGAAGAATCAAAAAAGGCACCCCTCAGTGACAATATCTCCACTGGTACCTGGACTCACTGGACTCAAATGTTTTGGAAGTGCTTCATGTTGTGCCTGCTGGACAAGCCCAGGGCTGGCCAGCTGAGCAGCAGGTCTCATCACAACAGTCCCACAGGGGTCTCCATGGCAGGAGCTGATGTGATGGAGCCTATTTGATCAGTTGGATTGAGTTCTGCATTTAACAGAATCATCACCACTTTGATGAAAAAAAAAAAGAAAAAGAACCAAACCCTAAAATGGTAATTGCCTTTTCTATGGCAGCCTATGGATTTAGACAGTTCCCACAGAAGTAGAAAACAGGGGGGGTGGTTCTCCTTAGCTTGATTAGAGTCAAACCCACTCCTAGGGAGATACTTGAACTACCCTAGCAGACCTAGGAGATTATTTTTTTTATTACAGGTGGACCACAGAGTATATGGAGACCAAAATGAGCCTGAAACTGTAGCCTGGTTGTTAGTCTTGCCTTAGCACATTGGCCCAAATTCCTGTTCCCAGGACAGTTCATACAGTTTACAGTAAAAATCCCACAAAATAAAAACAAATATTCTTTGTGGACAAAAACCCAAACAAACTGTGGTGCCTATATCCTGTTTTTTGATTCAAGCATTATATTTGGTTGTAGGATTGCTGGTGAATTTGGATCTTCTTTGGCTACCAGGATAGGTGTCAGTATTATAATCACATAATCCCTGTACTCCCCACCTCCTACAAGCCTGACATCAGTGCAAGCTGTTTATGCTGTCAGGCTCCACAGTGACTTCAGTGCCATGCAAATCTGCAGGAAGCAGAGGGAATCCTGGCTGCAGCAGAGCCAGCGTAGTGGCACAGCACCAACCATGCAGAGCGTCCTGTGACCGGAGCAGGAAGGCACAGCTGAGAGGCTGTTGGGTGCCAGAGCAAACTAGACACACATTTATGCAGCTATAAGGCTACTTTCGTTTGGGCAGCATTTAGTTTGAGGTTGGCATCTAAATGTAGCTCTTTGACTGACCCAGATATGCTCTAGGCATCTGCTAGAGCTGCTGGAGATCCAGGGATCAGCTCATTTGCCCGTGCAGAGGTGTGTGGTGGTGGCTGTGTGTCCTGTGGCAGTTGAGACACATACATGAGGCTGGGAGGCATAGCACAGACCTGGTACCTTTCTGCTATGGCAGCTGATGGGACAGCTCAGATGGCACAGGATGCCTCAGTGTGGGCACTTGAGTCAGCCTGTTGTCATCAGTCCCCTTGTCATCACTGAGGCCTGTGTGCTGGCTCCGTGGAGACTGGAGCGTGATTTCAGCTGAGACATGGCTAGCTTCAGTGTGAGCTGAATTGCCCACTGGGGTCCACTGACTGTATTGGCTACTTCTCCAGTCCCACTTTTTCAGGTTGCAATTGCCTAAACATACTTTTTTAGTGTCATTTTAAGTGCCTACCTAACTTCCAGCTGCTTTATCAGAGATTGCATGTCTCCTTGGGTCCTGTGGCTTATCTGCCAACTCTAGCTTGAGTAGCCCAGGGCATCTCATATTACACTAGGTGTCTGCTGGTCACTGAACTGAACCATTCTGTCCAGGGCAAGCTGGGCCCTGATCAGATCAGGGACAAAAGCTGAAAATCACCTTTGTTCTTAAAATATTCCAGAAGTCAATGTGTGCATGAAAGCACTGGTGTGTGTCAGTAAAATGCACCAAGCAAGATGTTACAAACTACTAAAACATGCTAAATGTTTTGTACATTCAAATTGCTTTTCTTCCTTTAATGGGACTGTCCAGCCTTACTGCAACTTCACAGGTTAATAAAACCAGCCAGTGTCCTTGGTGAGGGCTGATGATTGACTAAACCAGCTCAGCAGTTGTGTGTGTTCATCCCACTCTCAGTAATGTCTTTAGTAACCTCACTCGAGTCCCCATGGTGTTCCAACACCACATAATGCCTCACTAGCTCAGAGCCAGCCCACATCACCCAGCGTCCCATGGGGTCTCATCTCGTGCGCTCCATGCCAGCTGTGTAAGAGTTCCTTTCTGTTTGGACCCACATTCCTGGATCAAGCAAAAGGCAGCAGCCTAAAGACAAACAGGGCTGGAAGGAATGGCCTAGAGTTTGTTTCTTGGAAGGAATGGTGAAGAGACAGACAGCCGTGTGGGTTTTCTGCCAGACAGGACAGACACAGGGGAGAGTGTCCTCTGCTTGCCTGCCCCGTCACGCACCAGAGGGGACTGCCGGCTGGAGAGGCACCTTTGTGCCATTTCACTTGGCAAACACAAAATACTTTAGCAGCTGCGTGTGAAGCAGGCATTAGCTTCCATAGGATGAACATGTTAGTATGCTGTAAGGAAGGCAACTAAGAAATTTAAACCAAGTTAGAGTTCTTTTCAAAGTGCTTTTGAGTGATTTAGGCTTGAAATGAGTAACTTGAAAGCGCCCAAATCCTCAGTTAATAATTTACATGTGAATAAAGCTGAAGAAATGCCTGAGATTCCAGCTACTCCATTTGATTGCCTCATGTTTACACACTGTGGAACTCTTTCAGGGAGTACAAGATGTTTGTCATTTGGGTTCCCTGGGATGTTGACATATTTTCCAAGGCTGATGGAATGCATTTGCATGTTTTGCCCTACACAATTGTATGGGCCTAACTTGTTTTGACATCTACATGTGAGTTCCATATTAGCCTTTACACTGCTATTGTAAATGTTGCTCTTAGTTATTGAAAATGGCTTCCTTCCTGTCAAGCAGACTGCATTCAAGTTTTCCAATTGTGATTTTTTTTGAGTGTACACATGGGGTTTTGAACTGTCCTTAGAAGATTAAGGAATGGTTTTCCTTTGCATACTCAGGATGCAGACAGAAAGCTCTGATGCTACTGACTGAAAAATGTTGGAGAGAGAAAAGTGCTCCTTTGTTGAGCATTTTTACTAGCATTTTTTAGTAAATGTGCAAATACATGTTGCAGCTGACATGATCCCTTAATTGAATCTATTTCAGTAGTTTAGTTTTATTTTACTTAAGTGTCATAAGTTACAGGGTTTAGTAATTTAGCAGATGGGCCTAGCTAGAATTCCAGGATCTTATGAGAATTGTTCTCTTTCATTAGATCAAAGTCTTCATCCATTATCTGAACAGAAAACAGTCACATATGAAAGTCAGCCGAGACACTGAAGTTGTCACCATGAACATTTGTGTCTGTATTGCACACTGCAGGAGATAAAGCCCATTTTCCCTTCAGAATTGTCACGTTTAGAAGTATGGTTCATAGGGGGTAGCTTCCAGTTTTGACCTTGCAGAGTACGTGCATCATTATCTGGCCAACAGAGACAGAAAATGCAATTGGCCCTTTTGAATCTTTTTATCCTATCCAAGTACTCCTTGTGCTTTTACAGGGTGGGATTCAGTTGCCTAAGCATATGAACTGATTGCAGTTTCAAAGCTATGGGATAGCTCTGGCCTGGCCTCTGTCTCAGACTCCAGAAGGGCACATGAGCCATGTTGGGTCTGCCAGCCCCAGACCAACCACTTAGGCCATTTTTATATTTTTTTTTAATTCTGAAGTACTCACACTTGAGGATAAGTGTGCTTGGTAGGCTGTTGGCCAGGGCAGCAGATTGGCAGAAACAGTAAAATGACCATGTCCACACTGCCATGAGGTATCCCTGGAAATCTGGGTTGGCTGCTTCACCTTCACGAGAGTTCATCAAGTTGCGGGTAGGACTAGAGGGGGAGAGCCTTTTCCTACATCCTTCCTACCACAGTCACAGGAAAAGGAAATCCCAATCTTTGCTCTGTCTCTTTTTCTCAACCCCCCTGCTCTTCCAGTGCAGAAATAAGTGGGCCCAGCCATGACCGCAGCATACTTTGTGAAGTAAAATTCAATTTTATCTATAATGCTGAGCTATCATGCCCCAGCTCTGAAAATATGGCAGTTACCCTGGGTTCAGTGTTAGCCTCACATGGCTATACTGTTTTGAGGACCCTTGTTAGTCTGTACACAATGCTAATATTGTACCTGTCTGACAACTAAGCCAGTGTTCTGGTATCCTCTAAGGTCAGCCTGCGCTCTGTTCTGCTGTGGAATGGGAGTTTTGCAACGATTCCCATCCTGATCCCATCTTGATTCAAAACACTGGACCTCAGATTTGGGAAACTCATTTGATCTCGACTGTACCTTCAGCCATATTCTAGCAGTACGTGCCACAGCCAGATTCCAAATGTGAACATTACTTGATTTGGAATAGTGTTGTTTAAGAGATAAATGAAGAACCAATGAAAAGTGTAAGGTAAGAATATATGAAAAGAAAAAGTCCTCCATTCATGGAATTTTTCTCTGTCTCTCTCTTTTGCAGACAGGCCAGGATGGGTCATCCTCGAGACCTACACCCACCCGCATTCCTGTGTCAAAAGGTATGAAAGCAGGAAAGCCAGTAGTGGCAGCCCCGGGAGCAGGAAATGTGACAAAATTCGAGCCTCGTGCCGAGACTCAGTCTATGAAAATAGAACTGAAGAAATCTTCAGCCAGCAGCTCTGCCTCCCTGGGCGGGGGTCAGGGCTGATGGCAGTGGCTCAGGGGGTACGTTCTGCAGGTTTTACTGCTCCCATGGAAGTCAGTCCCCCCTGTCTGTGTAGTTGCTCACGTTTGCCTGTACTAATGAAGTCCTGCAGCTGTCACTTACAAAAAACTAATAAGTGTGTGCACTGACTACTTAAGTAACAATATCCTTTTGTTTTCTTGAACTCAAGTTTAAAAAAGGAAAAAAAAGCCATCATAAAGGCAGTTCTTGTACGCCAGGAAGATTTTCAGTCTAGGAAATGAGAATGGTGCAGCTAAACTAGGTTATTAATCTAGTTCAGGAATTCTTAATGATGGACTTGGTCATTTGAAGGAAGTTCGGTCACTTTTACTGGTTGTCTTTCACCTTAGCGGATCACTTTCCACCTTTGCTACTGCATGGGACACTTTCCTTCCTGCCTGTGATCACATTATTGAAATGCCACTTGGCCTAGGGAAGCAATGCCAGGAGACAGTGCACTTGAGGTCCTGTTTTACTGAAAGCTAGTACCTCAGCTGTGGGAGGGAGGGGAAGAGAGAAAGGATGGGCACTGTGTGACCTGCCTTCTCTTGAGGAGTCTCCCATCCGAGTCAGTGTTTCTCGGTGGTGAGGTGCTTTCTCAAGATAGTTACAGAATTCAGGGGCATAGGGATGTAGCACAATGTTTGGCAGCAGCAGTGTTAAGCACCAACTTAATTCTTCCAGAGGGGATTAACATTTGTAGACAGTACTCAAAACCAGGTCCCTGACTTACACACACTGGGTACTGCCAGCTCAGTGCTCAGATGAAGCTACGTGAGCCAAAAAGTGTTTAGTCTTTGGCAAAGCTGAAGAAACACTGATCTGGCTAAAATCAATACTGTCCATTTATGGCTGCTCCAAAGATCACTAACACTATGAAGCAAGTCACTCTGTTGACCTGACTAGGTTTTCAGTTGTTTTCTTTGTTGGGGTCTTATATTTAAACCTTAGTTGTCAAGCATCTGTATGTCTTGGAGGGGAAGTCAATACAGACTGCTGGTGGCAGGAATTGCTATCTAAAGGCACAGCTCAGGCACAGACAGTGAAAGAGAGAGGGTTTGATAAGGAAGTTAGTCTCATTTTTCAGTTCTGTATAATATGTTGTCATAAATACAGACTGCCTCACAATACCATGGTGATTCATTGTTTTTCCTTCCCTCTTTGTAATTTCCTCATTTATATGCTTGCGTTTTTTAAGCATGTTCTAAGGAATTGTTCCAGCATGGAAATAGTGTGGATGCCCATGATTGTTATGATTTTTTATTTAATAACAGTAAAGTTATTAAAGGACATTTCCATTAAGTGATCAATTTCCACAGAAGAAAGTCTCAACCAAAAGAAATGGAGCCAAGCAGACCGATAAGTGATGGGTTTAAAGTTTGTATAATGCTTCAACCATCTCAGCAAGCTGTGAAGGACCCAGTGGTTGAAACAGCTTTCAGAAAGCAAGGCGGGAAGACCACTCATAAATAATAAATACAATTCACAGAAAGGAAAATGCACCCGTGGGTAAAATATGAAATGGCTTTCTGTCTAGGAGAAGAGATTTGATGGAAGAATCTGTCACAGAAGGTCAACAAAATTATATTCATCCAAGCAGTGTTTAGTTTTCAGTCTGTGATTTGCATTGCTCTCCAGTTTAAGATCCAGATATAGCAATTAGCTGACCATAAAGCTGGTATTTTATTATTTGCATGAAGGGCATTTTTTAATTTGCCACATCAAAAAAGAAGTAGGTTTTGGGTTTTTTACATATGTAGCACCTACAGTACCTGTTAATTCTAAGGTTCTGGTTCCTATGGCATCCAAAAATCAGATTAATATTTGTAGCATTTTTCCTAACACCCTATTCAGTATTTCAGATAAAACTTGGAAACTGGAATTATCAAGCAATGTGAGTTACTGTTTCAGAAATACATCAGATGCTCTCAAGTAATTCTTATCACTTGAAAGCCTCAGAATGTCAATAAATTGTTGCTGAGATCTTACTGTTCTTGTTGTAACACGGATTTTTTAACAGATGTTTGAAAAAAACACGTTTTTAAGAGCTTTTTGCTGGATATTCACTCTAAATACTGGCACTGAAGCAAGTCTTAAGGTCAAAACAGTCATTTAAATAATATTGTGAACATGAGCCCTGAGCTAATGTGGCTTGATACAGTGATGAACTACAGCTGCCTTTTAAGCCTTCCTTATGTCAAAGAAACTTAGTTCCTTAGTTAACTGTTGCTGCACTCAAGGCAATGTTCTGTGCGTGCCTGTGGTTGAAAAATTTTTTTTTGTTTGAGGTCTAAGAAACTAATTCATCTGCAGAAACAAGCCAGCCACACAGTACCTGAAGTCCAGGGCACACAAACTGGTTCAGCTAGAGCCAGAACTGCAGGCACAATCTGGGGATTGCTCCTATGGCGTCAGTAGGATTTGATGAGACAGATTTGAGAAATTCCAGACAGGTCAGACTGAGGATCCTGTTATTTTTCCCAGGGGGAGCACAACAAAAAGGAACTTTCGCTCCACAGCAGAAACCTAAAGAGTTGGAATCAGGCAGCTGGTTTAACTGTTAACTAAAAATAGATATTTAGTTATAAATTTTAACATCTGTTTTAATTGAACTTATCCTTGTTTCTTAAAGGTAGAAGAAGGTTAAGATAAAGAAAAAAGAAAGCCTATAGTTCAGAAGTCTTAAAATTTGAAGTGTAACTCTGTATTATATTGGAATTTCCTCTAAGTCTGAAGGCAATTATGTTTAGTGACTACAGTAAGATTCTCCATTCAATAGGTCAGGTCCAGAAGGCAGTTTAAACAACCAAGTCTAAAGACAGTGTCTAAGCCCCAGAGGCATCCTGAAGATCTTCCTGATGTTCTTCCACTGCCTTTGTCTAGTCAGGGTTTCTGTTGTGAGTTAACTCTAGCACTGCAGCCTCTGAACCTCACCAAGATCCATAATCCAGGTATTCCTGTATTTCTTCTAAGAGTTTCTAAGTCAAGCCACAATTTCATGGTCACTTAAAGTCAGGATGTAATCCCACACTGGAGTGAAAAGCTGTAGTCCTGTCTTTGTCAACTCCAGCCAAGAAAGTGCTCACATAGTCACTCAACATGTGGTTGTCCCTTGAGCTGGCACAAGTGTTTGAACCTAACTGGGGAACTGATCTGAATTAAAACGAATCTGGCAAAACAAAGAAAGGCTAGGTTCAATATAGCTTAGTTCCAGGCTCTCAGGCCAGAAAAAGAAGGAAGGCACAGGAAACCAGGGGCTGTTTTAAAGTGACTGGAATCATGAAGGCTTCCTAGTAGATAAATACCACAGAAATGGAGGGGTAGTACTGCTATTTTAAAAAGTTTCTGATTGAAACCTTTTTTCAAATGTAGGAGACAGATCCCCCTTCCCAGCAATACCTGAGGAGACTCAAACTCACATCAGCTGCAGGCAGGTTCAGCAATGGCACTGACAGACTGAGGGGGGGAAGAAGGTGGCATTCTTATTCCCTCCTTTGAAGGCTGTGCTGTTCTGCATGAAGTGCTTCAGTATTCACTGAGCAGAAACAATTGAGTGGTTGAGTGGTCAGGATATTGAACTAGGAAGAGGGAGCCCCCCTGTTTTCATGTCCCTGTTCCAAAGGCTGCCTTTGAGCTCAGCCTTTTGTGAAAAAAAAGTTTATAAGATGAAGTGTCTGTGTTCGTCCATCGTTCCATCTGTCCTTCCCTGATGAATAACACTGAACAGATCAACCAGTTTCAACCAAACCTAACAAAGCAATAGGGATTTTCAGAATAAGAAGTTTTTCCAGTTTAATGAAAAGGGTGGCAGAGAAGAGGAGCAAGATCTTAGCAGTGCCCCACTGCGTGGAAGAGTAGAGCATGAGCTCACCTTCATACAGCATCAAAGAATGAACACAAGAGAGTGACGTCAGAAGTACCACAAGGACAAGCTTTGTTCAAACCTCAGATTTGACAAGGCAACAAAGAATCCAACTCTGATACACTAATCCATAGGAAAATACTAGGGCCTTTATTTACAGGGCTTTTTTGTATTCTACGTTAGTGGATTATAATGCGGAAAACAAGCTTTCCTAAGTGATCATCTGGAATCACTCATCCTCATACTTTCTCTCTCTTACCTTTTTCTCTGTCATTTTGTTTGGTTTTTATTTTTTTAATGAAGTGGAATAATTTCAATAGCAAAACACACTCAACTCAGAGTCATAATGATAGTTAAAATGGTTCGTCAGGAAACTAAGGTGGCTGAGAACCAATCTTTGCATTTTTAGTCGTTTTCAACATCAGCTGGAGAGAGATCCTGTTTTGGCTGATGGCATGGCCATATAAGCAGTTGTGATAAGCCAAGCAATGGGAACATAGGACAGCAGTAAAGTGGAGAGGGGGAAGAGCAGGGAAAATGCCAACTCATTCATGAGCAGCACACATGGACCGAGAAAGTGCACCCTCAGTTCTCCAGGTGATCTCTCTGATTTTAAATTTAGTTCCTAATAAGTGTTCTACTGTATTTCCTACGTTGGATCCCATCATCAGAATTACTGCTACATGTGAGTATTGCTAATGTAGTCATTAGCAGATCAATACAGTTGAGAAAGCGTGACTAAAAATGAAGGAGCACAGAGCTTCAACCCTCATGCCTGAGGGATTTCTCTCAAGATTGGTAAACATGCTAAGTTAATGGTAGAGGTAAAACAGATTTTCATGTATTTTGCGCACCGGTTTTCCTTTTGTGACACCCATTAGTGCGAATTTTGAAAAATCAAACAACACTTTGTGGTTCTTCTGAATATGTCCACGGAATATGCATGTTACTGTATTTAAACCGCAAACCACTTATGGCTAATAGTAATTAGCATCATGTGAGTAATCTCTAAAGCCACATTAATATATTGATTCATGCCAACTGGATGCCAAGTCATAGGTCACTGCCTGAAATACACTACTCATGTTCAAAAACATGCTCAATATTTACATGAATATTCAGTAATTCTGATCAGATGTGGAAGAGCATGTCTTTAAAGAGAGTAAGCTACTGTCCTGCTGGGTTTCAGGTACTTGGCATAAACCGCAACAGTCAGGACAATTTTAAGACCAATTATATGTTCCCATCACACATCAGTGGCCAATTTCATTGAGTTGTTTTGAAATACGTAGTTTGCTGGCAGGAGTTTCTGTGAGCTCATCTTTCAAACTTGTTTTCATTTAGGGGAATGGCTTTTCCCCCTAACATCAGTGTGAGTTATCCTTATTCCCTTAATTTTGCCTGAGCTCTCTCAGGCAAAACTATATGCAACATTTCTCATTACAGATGTTAACTTCACTTTGAATCTTACTCGCTACACACTGCTCTTAACCCGGCTTTTTTTTGAAAACGCCACCGGGGTTAACTACTGTGAGGTTCAGAACTATCAGCTCTGGGAGTCAGGTGTGAAACACTCAGGTGTGAATTGTTCTCCAAACAAAAAAACTCTTATTGGGATTTTAAAAATAGAATTACCGATGTATGTACTCTTCTGTTGCTTGGGCGTGTGCTGTCTGTTGCACATAGATTTTTGTATTATCTGGTGTTACTTGTTTGTATATATTGTAAGAAGAAATTAAACTTTGTATGTTAAAATGTCAGTTTATGTGCTTCATTATATGAACCGGTATCCTGATGTGTTTCCTGGAGAAGTTCTGATTTACATCAGTGGGACTGAAAGCAGAATTAGCTGTTTCACATTAACTGTCATGAAAATCAATTGTTTAAGTTAATTCATAGCTCCTGGAACTATTCACATCTATAACGCTAAAAAAATTTATGTAATCATATCATTCTGATATAATTGTATTCCTACAGAGGCTGGTCCAAAAGAACTCTTATAAAATGTGCCCTACTCTAATTTTAGCTTAATAGCTGCTCAGACACCTCTTTTAGTAACTACAGTATGTGTGTGTGTGTATAATATATATGTTTATATATATGTAAGCATTTCAAATACAAACAACTGATAGACAATTATTTGATTTTTTTAAAATAGTTTCTCCTACTCTTATGCAAAATTCCTATATTGGGCCTGTAGGAGGAAGACTGATTGAGAAACATGCTGTAGTTTTGCTGTTCATTCAGTGACTGAGCCTTAACAAGGATATTTTTCTGATACCCATTTAGTTTTTAGAATTTTGTGTCTAAACTCCATATTAATATATACTGTGCATAGTGAATATTAAGAAAATAATTGTTTCATATAGAGTTCACATGACTCCCATTGAAATTAGGGGAGAGTTTGCCTGAGGTTACAGTCTGATATTATATAAATGCAGATTTTAACATAATATTTCACAAGAGCTTCAAGCTAGAACAGCAGTGGTTGTAAGGTAAATTCATACAGTAGTCTGTGATTCTTTCACATTCAGTGCTCAAATGTAGTAGAACTGGTATACATATCTAAGATGTTGAAAATCATTTGTTAATGATAAATTGTATGGAAAATAAATCCTTTCAGTCTGGGAAATTCTATTATTTCATTTGCCTTAACGTATTTTCTTGGATGTTGCCTAAGCACTGCTTTTCTGATTCAGGAATCACCATCAGCACTGTGATCTGCCATCTAGTGGCAAAGTTCTGGCACTAAGAGTACATGGAAAATATTTTCATTTTTCTTTCTTCTTATAATGTAACTTAAACATCTTGCAAATATTAGTTAGGAAGCAAACTAAAGCAGAAGTCAATAAAAATGTCAAAGGCAATAATTATTTGATTAGTGTCATTTCTTGGGTCGTGTAAATCTTGAAAAATTAAGACTATTAAAAAGGGAAGGAATCTTAAGAAAAATAATTTCCTGCATAAAACACAATTTTTCAGAGAAAAATGTGCTTGATAGCTAAATTCTTATATTAAGAAAGTTGCCTGTAAGAGCCATGTATATAGAATAGAAGAACAGACCAGGTCATTAGTACTTCAGCAGAGCCAGAGATTAATCAGGATCAGGGACCTCCTATATTATATATATAATATATATATATAATATATATAATATAATATAAGTCAAATCCAGCCTTTCAAAGAAAAGGTCAACACTTAGTTTTGCATGCTGTGGCTGAAATTTATCCCCCTTAAAGTCAGTAGCAAATTCAAGAAGACTTGCTGAATAAATCCAGCATAGGTTTGTAAGCCAAGTTTAAATAAAAAAAGTGAGAAATGGCCCCACGCATCTTCCTCATCTCCATTTCAGAATTGCCATCAGATTTATGATGGATTTGCTTAGACAGGTTAAAAGACATCCAACTCCAAGTCTTCCTTATGGAACTGGAACTTTAGTGTCCCTGTGGTTTAACCCGTTCAGCTGTATTTCTCTTTTCCCTATGGACGACCAAATGATAGTCTTGACATTGAAGTGGAAGCCAGGGGGCTCTGGGCCCTAGACAGGAACTAATTTAGTCTCCCTCTGTAGCATTAGCCAGGACGGTTTTATCAAGCAGTGATGTGAGGGTAAGTCTGTGAGACGTTTCTAGAAAAATGCCTAGCACTGCCACTTGTAATTGTTCTTCTTTAAAGTAACTTGCAATGAATGCACTTGTAGTTTCATAAACCCAAATGTTTTGCTCTCTTTTCTTTTAGAGAGTGTCATCATTCACCAGTTACGCATGAACTCTAGATGAGTTACGGCCCCGCTAGAGCTCCCTGTGTGCACTACCCTCCACGCCCGTGGGATGGATCACTGTAAAGCTCCCTGCCATCAACACCAGGGTCACTTGTGCTACTATTTGTGGAAGTATTAGTGCTTCCATTAGATTTTATATATTTTTTTCTCTTGGTAGGGCTTTAAAAATGAAGGGCCTTGCTGGCATTTTGAAAGTACCTAGTCAGAGAGAGAGAAGTAGTCGTTCTGCCAGCTGAATTTCACTTTTATTTGCAAAGCCTAAGGCATGTGCTTGATTTTGTTTGATATTTGCCATATAATTTATTTTTATAATACACTTTGTAAAGTTAACTGTCCCAAAGTTGCAATTCCTGTTGCTCATGGCGCATTTATTTGTAGAATACACTGTTAAATTTGCTATTTGATATTTTTGTAATAGAGAGTATGTAAAGAAAAATGTAACTACAGCAATGTTTTGAGTTTAAATGGAAAAGTATTCAGCACTGCTGTATGGAATTTGTACTATTGCAGAATATTTCTTGGACTGTGTGATGGTTTGGCATAAAATTAGGTATTAAAGTCCAATGCCTTGAAATACAACCAGATTTGCTCATTTTAAACAGTGTAAGCCAGTTTTTAAAGCTGTGATTTTTTTTAATGTAAAGTATGTTTTTACTTCTGCCTGTACCAAAAAAAGGTTGATTTTCATTACACTGTAACTAATAAATTTTCACAACTATGCAAATATAATCAAGTGTTTGCATTTTAACTCCAGTTGCTTAAGGCTGGCAGTGCTCATCTGTGTATTTGTTTATGGGGACAGAATTATGGGTTTGGAAGTTCCTTTTTCTGACTTGTGTCTCATATGGTGTCACAGTGATGTACAGAGTAAAACTGATTCATGGAATCCTAGGATGGTTTGGGTTGGAAGGACCTTAAAGATCATCTAGTTCCTAACTCCCAGCTGTGGGCAGGGACACCTTCCACTAGACTGGGTTTCTCAGAGCCTCATCCAACCTGGCCTTGAACACTTCCAGGGATGGCGCATCCACGACTTCTCTGGGCAACCTGTTCCAGTGCCTCACCACCCCTCACACTAAAGAATTTCCTCCTAATACCTAATCTAAACTGTCTTTCAGTTTGAAACTATTCCTCCTTATTCTGTCACTGAATGCTCTTCTAAATAGTCTCTCTCCATCTTTCTTGTAGACTCAGAAATTAAGGAGGGGGATCAATCACTAATCTGTTAATGACTTGATTGTTTCTAATCTTGTGCATCACAGCACTGGCAGAGATGTTTGACTGCTACAGTCAGAATCTTTAGTCCTGGACTAGCAGGACTGTAAAACTTAGACACCATGCACTCTGCACATGCTGAAGGGCCCCTTTTACACTGGTAGCTGTAGCTTCTCAAGTAGCATCCAGAGAGTTCAGTGGCAGCTACACTTAAGATGATTTTTGAATTAATTATATCTAAAACTACATACAACCCAGGCAGAGTCTTTTTTTTCTTATACATTTCATAATCAATTATTTTTAATATAAGTCATTGGCACATATTTAAAATACTGCAGATTTTTTAACTGCAGAAGCTACTGGGAGAAACTACTTTTTTGGAAGGGAAAATGGTGATGCTTGAAGAAGATGTGCTGTGAGACACCAGAAAGAGTGCATTAACTCAGCATCCCACTGGGATGATTAGGTCAGTCCATCTTCGAAGCTGGAATATTGCACTGCTGTGTATTCAATTTGATCTTCATTGGAGCCATGGGAGCTCTTTTTCCTTCTGTAGAAGGAGTTCTGCATCAAATGCTGACATTGTAGAGAAGCAGGATATTCTGGGATCTGCTTTGGAGTTGATCTCCATTGTAAAGAGTCTGCTAATACAGCTATAGTGAGGAATCAAAATAAGCGCTGCTTATCCTGGCAAAAGAGTCATTTTGTTGGTATAGCTTATGCTTAGCTAGTACACCATGTTTTTTAAGGAGTGGATTTTTTTGTACAGCAGACAATGTATGCCAATAACATAGCTGTGTCTGTAGATCTTATTTTAGAGCAACCCGAGAACAATTCCAGCTTTCAGAGAGCAATACAGCTGAAGTGAATAAAGTTTAGTGTGTGCCACACAGTGTTTACTGCTCAGTAGAATGAATATTGTAGTGACCCAGATCTTCTATTTTCAAAACATCACTTTGGAATCAAAACCTATATATGTTAAGATCTGAGCTCATCTGGAATGAAAATCCTGGCTATCTGAAAGTGATGGTGACACGTCTGAAATAAACTTCAGCTTTTAAATATGAGTAAGCCATTAGTAAAATCATATTCTGAAATTGAGTCTACATTTAAAAGGTCCAAATCAAAGTAGAAAATATTTTTCCTTGTCTAGATTTTAATATAAAGCCACTTCAGTATGAGTGTAAGTTTATGATACCTAAACAAATTGCAAATACATTGTTTTAAGTTTTTAAGCTTCACAAAATAAAGGTTTGTTTAAAACATAAATACTTCAAGATATATTTGAAATAATTTAGATTTTAAAATAATTTTGATGAGCTGCAGCGCTTTGGAGTAGGAGGCTGGTGATTTCATCTTCAATGCATTTATGTTCCTGGTCAATTTTTTACATTACCTTATTTGGATATGAATCTAAGACAAATAAGTAATAAAAGTGCATTAGCCACATAATTAGCCTGTATTTCAGAGACACTCAGGAAGAAATCTATTAATGTAGACTAAAGATGATTAATTTCTACAAGTATTGTCATCCTAAAGGAGGTAATCAGGAAGTGCTTTCAGACTAAGACAATTTAGAGGCTACCTTGGGCTAAAGATATCAGTAGCTTTTAAGCAATAGAAACCCAGTGAAAGATCTACTTTTCTCTTAAAGATCTCTTCCTGTCTAAAGAGGATTGAAAGACCTCTGTGGGTATAGTTACAGGTGATAAAATACAATGTTTCAATCTATTAAAAAATCTCAAATACTTTGATTTCTAGGGAGAAATTATGCAGCCTGTGAGTTTTCCTTGCTGTGAAATATAATTGGACAAATTTAACATGTCCTTTCTTGCCAGTCCTCTCACACCTGGCAGCATCAGGTCCCAGCTTCCCAGTATTGCCTCTCAGTTATCCTGCTGCCAGAGAAATTTCTTGCCATCTCTCAGCACAGACTTACAAGCAGTCTTATTCCTTTGGGATCCCAGGTTGCGCTTCCCTGATTCACTGTAAGGCTGTGGGACTAAATGTTGCTATAGCTGAAGGTGGTAATGGAAAACAGAATATAATAAAGAAAAGGGTGATATTAGGGACAAGCAGCTTAGCTATGGGGAATGGAAGCAAAAGGTGGGGCCCACAAGATAACGGAAAAGATAAACTAGGAATGAGATATAGTTTTACCACAGATGACACAAGGAATACGATTAACTTTTGTACCCCATACAGTTTTTTAGTCACTGAATTAATTCTTAAATTTTAGATGCTTATATGTCTAAATTCCCTATGCTGTCTATGACAAGAGGCCTTCTGAGCCTCCGCGGAGGCTCATTTGCACAAGTCAGTTGCTCCCCCCAGTGGTCTTGGCTGATACTCTTGCTGTTCCAGAGAACTAAAAGGCATTTATTTTAGGGAAACTGTCCTACAGGCAGCTAAAAAGTCTTAAGACTGGAACTACATGCTTATAAAGTTATTAAATAATTCTGATTATTTTCCCCTAAGGTCAAGTAAATACATAAATACTTGCTGAAAGTGGATTTTGGTTACACTCTAGAGACTACAAAGGAAGGTCTACAGAGTCCTCACAAAGAGTAATGCAGAAGTGCCAATAAAGTGAGAAACATGGACTTTCAATGTTGCATTAGGGTGAGGAAAGCCTGCTAAGGCAGGTATTCTGGGATACAAATACATACTCCCACACTGCATTCCACAAGATGACTGTTTCTTCACAGGAAGGGTGTTAAGCATTGGAATGGGCTGCCCTGGGAGGTGATGGAGTCACTATCCTTGGAGGTGTTTAAGAAAAGACTGGAACGTGGCACTTAGTGCCATGGTCTTCTTGACATGGTGGTGTTTGGTTGTAGGTTGGACTTGATGATCTCAGAGGTCTTTTCCAACCTAATTGATTCTGTGATTCTGTGATTCTATGTAATGCAATCAGATTAACTCCTAAGGGCAATGCAACAACTCCGACAGGGACAGGAGCATCCATATGTATAAGTATCTGAAGGGAGGGTGTCAAGAGGATGGAGCCAGGTTCTTTTCAGTGGTGCCAGCCAATAGGACAAGAAGCAACGGGTAGAAACTGATGCACAGGAAGTTCCACCTGAATATGAAGAACTTCTTTACTGTGCAAATGACCGTTCACTGGAACAGATTGCCCAGAGAGGTTGTGGAGTCTCCCTCACTGAAGACATTCAAGCACCTTTTGGATGCAGTCTGGTGTGATGTGCTCTAGGATGACCCTGCTTGACCACGGAAGTTGGACTAGATGACCCTCTGTGGTCCCTTCCAACCTGATCAATTCAATTTACTGCACTGATTCAGTCACACAGTTCCTGACAGCTGACCAAAAGTGATGGTTAGCACGCACGGCTCCATTAAGATAATTCTCCTGCATTATTACATCTCTATAGTTGCACTAATCCTAGTTATGAGAGCAAGAAGCTGAAAGTGAAGCTGAAACCGAAGCTGAAACCGACTTCTCCATTTTCGACCCATTGGATGATGCCTTTTACCAGCACCCCTCCCCATGGCAACGGGAGGACGAGGGGCGGGAGAGGGCCCTCCTGGAGTGCTGGGGGGAGGCTGCGGGCCCAGGCCTTGCCCGGACAATGGGGTACAAGAAGGCTGGATTTAACTTTGCCCTATGTGTAATACAGGAGATCCCTGCCCAGAGCCCTGCCCAGCTCAGCAGCGCCTGCGCGGCCAGCGCACAAAACATTTGAGGAGCGACTGAGGGAGCTG